CATTTGGGTTTGATGTCACTCACTTCAACCGAAATTTGTCCCCGGCTGAACATATTTTTGCCCCAAATGTTTACTTCAAGATGCCCATTACTTCCGCTTCTTGATAAACAAATGAAAAAATATCGTTTTGTAATATATTTGCCAGTTTATCTGGATTTGCGGTGATAAATGCTTGAAGATCTAGCAAAGACTATGTGAAAAAACCCTACCGTATAGGCTGACCTTAACAAAACTCTGGTGAAGTTCCAGACGAAGTTGTCGATAGGTATCGAATCGGCACGAGATATATTGATCCACGGGACGAGATGGTTCAGGGGTTAGAGCGCGAATTTACTCAACGGAAGATTCGTGGTTCGAACCCGACCCCTGCCACTCGACTTCCCCTGCCTAGGCTTGGGCAACCTCGCAGTATCCCAGCCCTCGTGCAACCTTTGGGTGGCATGGCAGCTAGGCACCGAAAGGGTGCTACAGCTGAACGATATATATATATATATATATATGCATATCTAGTAGTTAAAACATGGGTAAATAACGTGTTTCCTGTTGTTGTTCAGCGGACTGCGTTAGGCACATGACGTGGCAACTTTCTAAGAGAATACGTGTCGGGGCTGCACTATACTCAACGGTTCAGCCAAAGGCTCAGTCGCGTCGCACATAATTGACATTGGGCACCTGATCAATCCGAACGAGTTATTTTCCTGTCTTCTACCTAGTAGCGAATAGACCACCAGTATCAGTCCAACGGTGTTGCTTGCCTTCAGCCCAGACGGTCGCGATGCGTTTGCAAGATCCAGCACAGTGCTGTCAGAAATGATTCATATGAATTCTGAGTCTGCGTTCGTATGTGGCATTCATCAACCGACCAAGTTGCTCTTCTAGAATGTCACACAGCATCCAGTTAGATGCGGCTTGAAGTTCCTCGATAATCAATCGTTCGTGTCTCCATGATTTCACTTCACTAACCAATCATAGCTCTTTCTTTCATTATTTATCCCCATTCTAAGTATTAGACATATTCTGATCTGATGAATATCACTTACCATAACTGTTTGATTTTCCATTTTTGTGACTCATGAGGAGTTCATGAAAGGCTCTGTAGGATTCTAATAACAAATAGAACCTTAATTTGGTTTATATACACTGCAACAGCGTTTTCGAGTGTTTGTTCCAGTTGCACTCCGTCTTTGCCTAAGGTGTAACGTTTTTTAATATAATCCCCGGCGAATTACACGGTCTTCACATGCATGTGAGAAGAGTGTTGTTGACACAAATCAGTGATACCTATAGCGCCATTCAGCGACTGTGTTTATAAAGTTGGAAACGAGGTATTTATGGTGCAGGTTCAATTTTCATGGGACGGACTACCGTGAAATTGTTTACGAGGTTGTGGTAATAGCATCGCCCTGATCTGATGACGAAATCATGAAAAAATTCGCCGATGCGTTCTTATTCAAAGAGTGGAGGTTTTTAAGTATCATATGAAGCATTATAGTAGCCGACTAAAAGTGGATGGAGAAGGGAATTATCGCTAACTTACTACAACCATTTCAAGATGCACCTCCAGACACACTGGATGAAAGCTGATAACAACAACACCATCGATATCGATTGGCAGCCATATAATGCAGCGCCTCCAAACGTGCACAGGGGGGTCACGCCGACGTAAATCGGCGAATTTTCTCGACTAACAGATAGCTGGTCTATTCTACGTTTAGGTGAACATGAAATACCCTCTAAGTTCGTGGATGTCATTCATAAGCGGTCACTACGACCGGCTAACTGACTGACGAGTTTGAATAAGTTCTGTGATGGATTTTGTGGGGAACGTGTTTACCTCCCTGCGTTTTATGAACCACGTGGAAACTGTCGGGCCAAGTTCTCGTCCGTCTATCTCTTCCCCTGTCTTTGAGGTAGTTTGTAGCATCATGGACCATAATCACGTGACAACTTCCGACCTCTTGAAACAAATGTTCACTAAGCTTTTGCAAGCTACAGTTATCATTTAAGAGGCGATTCCATTGTACGCCCGTTGAATACAGATTTAGCGACTAGAGCCGCTGTACACACAGCTGAGTAACTGAATCGAGCTTTTCCTTTTGACTTTTTATGTGTCATCTTATTCGTTTTTTTTCTCATCCAAACAGAGTCTTGGTACAGCGTGACGCCCGAATGCATAGCTCGACGTCAAGCAAACGCGTGTGCATGTGACTTGATCGTGGATGCGTTTGCAGGGGTCGGTGGAAATGCAATCCAGTTCGCGCGCACGTGCTCCCTCGGTAAGTGAAAGATCCTCTTTAAATTGGTTTCCTCTTTGCCGCCAAAATTCTTGCTGAATGACCGAGTCATTCACTGCGTGCTGGACACCCAGTTACGGAATCGCTTAATGGTAATCTTCAGCGATGTGTTGCAGGTCGCACTCCCGAGAAATTGGCTGTTATCTTGATGCACTATGTGTTGACGGGCGCGATCTTTTCTTCGCTGCGTTTTTTTCATGCATTTCCTGTATTGAACTCCTTTCAGTCAAGGCTACCGTCACTCTTTGTGTACGTATTGACCTGGAATGTTTGTTCAACTGCCGTTTTCTCCAGGATTAGAAAGCTGATGTCCGTCGTTAATGCATCGCTGTTCCGTTTTGGGATCTTAGACCAGCATACCAGTTCCACGGCCCTTTACAAACGTAAAGATAAAAAACAATCGGTGTGTGAGATCGGCCCGTTTAACATCAGTAACGCGAGTTGCTCAACTGAGATGACTGGATCACTTCAGACTGGTGGTACTGGGGACGTTCAGTCGGCCAGGCTAGAAACAGTGTTCGTACAAATTTCCTCCTAGGTACGTAGGTGGAATCACGTTGTTCTGCACGATTGCCGAGGGTTCAGATCTCGCTAAGTTATGGTCATGGTGGCCGACTGCTGTAGGACCCCATCCAGCCAGTGCATAAGGTGCCTGTTAGTCTTCATGAAGATATCGAACCTTTACACTTTGTGCACTTACATAGCAATACTGGGAAGTGTACGTATGAACTCACGTAGCCTCTCATACAAGCCTGGCAAACGTGTAGAGGTCTGGCTAACACAGTCTCTCGGTCCCCGAGAGTTGGGTTAGGAATATGTGTGGCAACTTGCTCCTCGAAAATGTAAGCTGCTTTGACAACCTTACGCTAACCATCGCTACCTTGCAGTTAGGCTGTTGGGGGTAAAGACTGATTGAGGATCCTAACAGTCCCTCTGTGTAGGTCTGGGCGCTTTGGCAGTATCCCAGCCCACGCACATCCAAACCAATCAATCAATTTGTCAGCCACAAACCGTGTACCATAGGCACATTGGCCCCAGCTGCTTCGATAGCCAGGAGGTGGAGAATGTGGGGCATGCAACCAAGTCTTGGAGGCGATGGCATATTTGGTTAGTTTGGGAAATGAGTAGCTGCGCATTGAAGTGGATAGCTTCGGTGCACGAGCGCCACTAGCTGCGCGATTGAGCCGTTTCTGCCAGTCCCGGGGTTCCTGTCCAGACAGGGCAATTATCGACCCGACTAAGTTTACTGGTTACTGTTTCCACACTTCGTTGCTAGGCTGTACACTGTCCAACCCTTAGTCGCTTTCCCTCAGCTCAGGGCTGGGGAAAAGTGCTCTGCTAGGTAGACAGTCTTCTGGCATTCAAAGCACATGTCCTAACCAGCGTAACCTATGAGCCGTGAGTAATTCATCCATCGAGAGTGGGATCCTACTTCTCAGTGGCATCTGACGTGCCTAAACATCACTACTACGATGTTTCTACGAGACCCGACCAATGCTTCGGAGACACGGTGGTCAAACACTGACAGCTTTCATATATCCTATGGGCGTAGAGGCCATGTTTCTGGTCCTTAAAGCAGCATGAATCGTACTGCCGCATTGTCAACTCTGGTTTGATAAGTAATATCATCTTCAGCCAGTTCAGCAGAACTTGTACACCTGCCCAGGTAAACAAATTTATCTACCACGTCGATTGGCTTGTCTGGAAGCATGAGGTTTGGGTGTGGTCACACCCATTCTTGTAGCAGCGCTGCAAGATGTGAAGCGCATATCAAACCGCACGGCAGAATTATTTAGGTTATTTACACTGGTTTGCATTTTTGAAGGACTTGAACCATGGAGATCAATATCATCCGCATACTCAATGTCTGGAGCATTTCGACTCCCCAGGTTTCAAAGGCAGGCAGATACATTTCAAACAGGACATCCGTAACTAACTTGAGGAGGAAAAGTGAGAGACAGAGCCTTGTCTTACATCACGACGTGGTGAATTCAGGCGAAAGATTGTCATATACTCGTACGCGCCCACAGGAGTTCACATACACAGCGTTTTCAAGCGACTGAGCTTAGAGGTCTCTGGTTGCCTGTTGATAGTCGCTTCTGTATGGTTGATGTGGCAACGTCTGCGGGGCGTTCCGTGAGCGTATCAATGATTCTTATCTGTTCGTAGTATATTCTTAGGTCTCTACTGCTTGTAGCTCTGATACACTCAAAGACAGTTTTCTGAGCACCTGTTGCGGATGTTGTGTTTGTCGGGGATAAGAGTGTGCAAGTCGAGACACTTAGCTGCTGAGGCTCATTAGGAATGTCACCTTGGAGTGGGATCGAGGCGCACGGGCAACGTCGAACGCCTGCTGACTACAGTACTAACTTCCGGAGCAACCGAAACCGCTAGGCCACATGGTGCCTCCCGCACGCGATCCAACCTGGAGCAAAATTAGGCCATATTGCAATCGGCTTCAAGTTCTGGAACACCTACGTGGGTTCGGATGGCGCGCATGGTGCTTCTCGCTGCGTTTTCGGAGGCATGTAATATGCGTACACCTCACTTGGTCATTGAAAAACAAGTGTGAAATAAGTCTACCAGAACCACTTACTGAAGCCCCTTTCGGACAAGATGTCTTCTGGTGTTGACTTACCGCAAGGTACTGCCCGCAGCCCTGTGGGATGCTGTGAGGTCCGCTTGTGGAGCGGTGCTAACAACTAAGTCTAATCCCCTGACATTAAAATTACACGAAGCTCGGCTACTTACTCCTCGTCAATAATACGTTGCAACTCAATGAACTATCACAGGCCGGGGAAAACAGCATATGCGCAGGACAAGAAGCTCGGTGAGTCCATAAGGCGAAACCTTGTATAAACCATTCCAGTCGATGCGCTCAGTTGGTCCAAAGAGGCCTCTAGTGAACTAGGTAATTTGCAGGAACAGCGGCTTAGCTACTAGGAAAATAAAGCCCCTAAAGCACTTGTTTGAACACTTTCAAGAACAATTCAACTAACCACATGTAGTTGCTCCTCCGGATTCCAGACCCCCAACACAGCCTTGGACAGTGGACCTGGAACCCCGACAGCTTCCAAAATATGCGAATGCTTTTTTCCCTCAAGCATTACGAGCTGCTGATCCCGACGGACTCTCACTCACCCTGTTCAGAGGTGGAGGTGGAATCCTCAGTCCATCCTTATCTACCTTACCTTAGTTGATTCTCTCTGGGCGTCCCAAATAGCTAGGGTAAGTCTATGGTGGTGGGGCGTTCGTAGCGAGTGTGGAAATGAAGTAGGCGCTGGCTTGATCTCTGTTGTAGCCAGACGCTGTCCCTCATTCTACGTCTTATGAAGGCGCGTGATGACGACCTGAGAACAACAGGCAGGATTCCGACCTGGAAGGGCCTGTGTTAGAGTAGCATGTGTATAGGCACCCTACAATCTTGCTGTTCCCTATTTTCAAAGGCGCGCTTTATTTAGTCAACTGGCTTGCTCCTTTCAGCGCACTCCCAATGCGGTACGTCTCAAAAGTTCGTGAATGTCATGCCTTGGTTGTAATCATACTTTCAGGCGCGTGTGTGTATGCAGATCGAAATAACGATTGTTCAATTGTAACACCACTTCAATGCCTAGCTGCAATGCCACTCGAAGTGAGCACAGGGGCTGAGATACTGTCAAGTCTAGGCAGAAACGGTCGGGATGCCAGGTTTGGATTCGAACCACGGGCGTTCCGGTTGGTAAGTTCACGCCTTAACCTCTGAGTTATCTCAACCTCTCCAAAGCCTCCTACAAGTAGTAATGTGTTGTGTCTTGATGGACGGTGGTGCAACTCTGTATCGGTCCCTTGGCTTCCTGCTCCGCCCACTATGGTACATCAAAAGGCACGGTAGCTCTATACAGGCCCTTATGGAGACAAAGCAAAATCATTACAACTGTATGTGTAGAGTAGTCACAGAGTGTTCCTCAAGGTCGTGCCAGAATGTCCGTGAGAGGGCGAGAAGCGTCGAGTCAAGGTGCTTGATTCGGATTGGCTGGCATTCTGATTCGGATTGGCATTCTGACCAATAAGGGCATGCCTTCGTCTGGCCCGTGTCCTGCACTTGACATATCCATCCAAATGATGTGATGTTTGTTCATTAGGGACGGCTGCCCCCCGAACACCTTCCCCTTGAGAAGGCTGTTCAACGGACTGCTGCTTTGAACTCCACTGTGACGACTCATGGAGGTTCTGTCGCCCGACCTAAAGCTGCCGCCTTGACTTGGTGGTCGGGCTTGAGTGCTGCAGCGACCCCGCGGGCTACACTGGCTGGAACTTCGTTCCACAAGGTGCAACCATGCCAGGAAGGCCAAAGGGGAGCAGCGAGACCCCGTACTACGAGTAATCGTGCTACGAGGCGGTCTGGGGGTAAAGTCGTACTGTCCTCTGCGACAGGAGTGTGAAGGCAGTAAGG